GCTGCTTTCTTTTCATTCCTTTCCATAGAGAAAACTGATTAATTTTTACACTTGGTTCAGATCAGTAACTGTGTGTTTTTTTCGTCTCCCAACGAAACTCATTTACGATGGAATCACTAAAAGCTCCTCGAACGCGCCAAATCCGCCGAGCACACGCACTCATTTTGCCGCTGTGTCTGCTGAACCTCTGATTTAGCTCCGAAGGCTAGTAGCAGGTCATATGATAGCCATATTGCTAAGCATGCGGTTAACTTCACCGCTAACTGGTGGAACTGCCTTATTTGAATTTGACGCTTCACTGCAAATGCGCCAAAATAGATCTTCTGGAATTGCACCGTGCTCGCGTTTTCCGTCAAGAGTCTGCCACTTCTCCGAAATCATTTCTTTCACATCTCGGTAGTACATTTGCAGATTATAGTAGCATAGATAAATGTTTGTTAAAGCAGCGATAGAGAGCGCTAAGAATGGGCCCGCAATTGACGCATTTAACACTAGACCTAAAGTAACTAAGCCAAACATGCGAGTGATACATCGACAAGAAAGGCCCCCTACCAAACAGCCGTCTGTTAATATTGCCATTGGGAGTAGCTGAAAACCAACTAGAAAAATTTGAACACCGATGAACATCGGTGTGAGACAATGACGGTATTGGTTGAATACTTCAAGGCTCCATTTTTTTTAACATTTGCCTAAGTTTCCTTACACAGACAAGCATGAGAATACCCCACGGTGAATAATTATAAATGAGCAAGACTAACCTATTAACAATACACAAAAGCATACTCCTCCTAAAATGACACCAACAACTATGACTAAGACAACATCCCAGAATAACACCCACAAAGCAATGAAAGGAGTTTTAGCTCGTTTCCATGGCGGACCCATTTTCTCAATAGCGTAATGTGTAAAGAACTTTATAGATTTTGCTAATGCTTTTTGGTGAAAGTTAATTAAACACGAAGCTAACTTGTAACTGTTTACTGATAATTTTCTTAAGTGTCGGAGCATGTCCTCTCCTACTGAAACCGTATTTTCTCTGCAAACAGGGCATTTAACTTGTCTAATGTCCTCTCCGGCAGTAATTAGGAAATCCTTAGGATTTGAGAGTAAAATCAAAATCAAAGGAGCGAGAACCATTAGCCGCGCGAGAAAACCCTGAAAATCGAAAAGATATGAAAGCAGTGGTCCCACCAGAGATGCCTTTGGTTTTTTACGCACCTCCTCCATAAATTTACTTTCTACAATGTAGTTTAATCCTAATCTTAGGTACACAAAAATTGGAATAACACAGTACCAGAGAAATGCAAATTTGGAATGAAATGAAAATAGTTCTGTACGTTCTTTAGTATAGTTTCTGAGAAAATATGAGAGGGTTATTGGATTTGGTTCGTCCAAATAAAGTAGACTTTGCACATGTTTGTTTGATGTATCCTCGCCTATTTGGGAATTAGCTTGCTGACTCTGAGTCAGAAGAGGTAAAGTTACAAGAGAAACTGAATCGTCATTTTCTGCATTGACATTTGCTTCAGCAGTTGATCCGTACCTGCTTATTTGTTGATTGCTCTGTTGATGATGGCTGCCTTCTGATTGTTGCTCGTTTTCGTGTCGCTCTTCCTTTGTACCCTCCTCTTGAAGATTGAAAATGGAATCCGGAAGAAAAAGGAGAAACGCCGGACAATAAAGCATCATTAGCACAGTCAAAAGGTTGAGGATGCCATTAAAAGCTTTTAACCAACCTCTAACTTGAACATCCAGCTCACATTGAATGTAAGCAGACTCCTCGGTTTCTTCTTTGCTAATCTCACAGCACTGGAATCTGACATTTCCATAAAAATCGTTCCATAAAAAGTCTTTAACATTATAATCTTCAATAATCGCAACACAAACAACATTCCTATCTGGAGGTTCACCTGAGTTTAACTGTGTCATATTCAAAAGCGCTCTTCCAACTATCTTGTTTTGATAGGATGAGTTCAAGTTCGCAAGGCATCCGCTTGGTTGATCTTCCAACAGCACATCCATACTTCTTGTTTGGTATTTAAGGAGGCCCACGGATAAAATGTCATAGTCATAAGACAAAGACAACATTGGCTCGCTGATCAAACTCGCCCAAACCCATCTATTTGGGAGAAATTCGTTTTCTGACTCTGATGGACGGTAGCTGTCGTTACGGAACTTCAAATCCAAGTAGACTATTCTAACACCCTTCTCGGAAGCCTTAACGCGGAATTCGGACGCAGTCCCTTTTCCAACCGGTAAGACCTTGCACTGAGCCTCACTGCAGTTCTCCGGCTTGGCTTGACAAGAAGAGAGAAAGAAAAGAAACACAGAAAGAGGAGCGATAAACTTGACAGCCATGCTTTGATTAGAGTCAGACGGTAATCCAGGCTATCTGCTTTTTTTCCTGTTCTGGAGCCACGAAGATCTAATATTACATTCACTTTTAGCTGAATCCAATCATGAGGTTTAATCGGCTCATCGTTTAAAAGGTATCGTTTTCAAATCGATTCATCATATACGTGTGGATGGGCTAAAACGATGCGAAAAAGTTAAGTGAGGAGACGAAATTTTTCTCCGCCAAATTTTCAATTTGTCAATCGTGGGTGCACTGAAAAACAGCGAAATATTTGTCAACCTCAAAGTGTCAGTCACAGGCCAGGGATATACAAATTGAACAACAGTTGAACTTTGAAACGCAGCTGGAACAGAAATTTGAGAGTCATAATATTTGTTTCTAAGTACTGCTGCATAACGATTGTCAGGTACTTGGGTAAAAATTAAATATTTTGGAAGGCCTCTACCTGCAAGACTCGTATTTAAAAAGCGAGTTCAGATTTTCATCATTGACGGTTTCCTTTTTAAAGGCATTGAAAATCATGTTATGCAAATTGATAAGTTTGTCGGATTTCATGCCCGACAAAAATATTTTCTGCTCTGGGAACACTTCGATGGCGCCCTCGAGTAAGGCTTGTCAAGATTTAGTCAGGAAAAAAATCACACTCTCACGCAACTGATGACAGATTTTTGCGCAAAATAAACACAAATTTGCCCAGTGCCCCCGGGCCCAATGAAAGGAGAAAAGAAAGTCCAGAGTCTACTCGGAAGTGTAAAACGTTAGTTTATCTCATGGTTTCTGATTTAAGTCTGCTTGATTCACGCAATTATCAGCTGCTTTTGCGCAAATTGTTCCTTCATTGAGAAACATGTCGTCAGTTGATAATTAGAATCATTTCTAAAAACAGAGTGGATTTTAAAAAAAATTCTTAGTAACGATCAAAATCAAAACATGGCCCTCAGTGTGATTTCGCTCTTTGCATAATTTGCACCCATTGCACTCTTTGCCAAGCGCAATTTGACAATCACAGCGACGATCCATGCCAAGTTCTTCTGTTTGAAAAACGCTTTGATCCCGAATTTCGTCCCAGTGCTTCGGAGAAAAGTCTCCTTGAGTTTCAATATCGGGAATGGCAGCAACCATGCACTAGGTCACGATACCTTTTTCTTCAATAGTTAGTACATGACTTTTTCCAAGTATTATTCACTTTGGACGTCCATCCAGTAAGTGCTATGAACAACATAAGCTGCTGAGACTCCAAACACTCAAAAACATATTTCATTGTTTTTCCTTCCTTCCTTTGTTGTTTGTTTTGTTTTGTTTTTTTCTTTTGTTTGTAAATATCAGATACGCCCTAGTTTAATAAGCATTTCATTACAGTAATTTGTTTCATTGTAACTCTTTTTTTCTAAATTTTAATTCTGCTTACAAATCTGGCGAACAAGGCTTTAGTTTCCTTTAATTTCGATTCATTCACAATAGCAATTAAAGAAGCGATGAACACTTGACTGAATGCATCATAACAACAGCAACTTAAGTCAGTTCAGATGGAAACTGTTCTGTCTAGACAGACTTGTCTGTTACTGGTAATTGGTTTGCGGCACAATCATTTCGCACCATTGTTGATTACAAAAACGGATGAAAAACCTCCGTGGATCATCAAGAGAAATATGACGCCGATATGAGTGCGTCAGAATCGCTGCCCACTCACTCCAAGAGGCATACTCGATTAGTGCTCTGGTACGTTCTTATCGAAAATATTTTAAGGTTCATTTCTCTGTTTAAATTTTACTTTGTAAAATGTAGAACTCAAGCAAACTGCTGAATGCTTCACATTCTTTTGATCAAAAAAACTCAAGATCGAGTACAATTGTTACACTCCATGATAGTAAACGTGAGCATTAAGCACCAAAAACACGCTAATGGAGGTTTAGTGGGTACTAGCGAGAGTCCCGTAATTGTATGTGTGATACGTTTAACTGTGCTCAATTTTGCCGTGCAGACAGTTTATATTAATCTAAAACACAACAGAAGAGATAGCCAGCAGAAAGAGAGTAATTTTGGAGGCCGAGTTTCAAGTATTAAAGCTACAATCTTAAATTTTTACAGCAGTGGAAGGGCAGTGGAGGGCTGAGGAGAGAAAGAAATTTGTACCAAGAGGGTGAGCGACGGTCAAAAAGAAGGAGAGGGGAGGGGGTGGGGCAACGAAAAATACGCCTTTCCAGGCCCCCTTCCCTTCACCGTCGACTCTAACTCCGAATCAACTGATGGCCGGTTGAATAAACGATCGCGAGCTCCCTAAAGTTAACTCGCCCTCATAGGACGCCTGCACTGCAGGCTACAGAAGAGGTCGTAGAGAGAAATTTTGAAAAATCATAGTTTTGCCTCGAGGTTACTGAGACTTTGGTTGACTCGCCACGCTTTAAACATGAACGTACATTACGCCAAAAAAACAATACATGAAGGAGTATCAACGTTTGTGGGGTCTTTGAACAAGGGGACTGGTGTATTTTATCACTTTTCAGAAGAGAATAAGCAAAATATCAATATATCTGGTCAGAAGGGACACTTATTTGGGAAGCCAAAAGCTGAGGCAAATAATCGATCTGCGAGACAATGATACATTGTGATGGCAAAGATCAACATTGTTTCATCGTTTCATTAATATACAAGCTACTTAATGTTTGATAATCATTTATGGTAATCTCTTTGGAGCATGAACACAACCACACATTAGAAGGAAAACTATTTTTTTGCATAACGAAGTTGAAAGAAACTGTGCATGAGCAGGTCACACAGCGACAAAATGAGTGCACATGCTTGTTATGCGTGAGAAATTTTTAGGTGCGTAAGGGAATGGGGTCGACTATTTCTATGGTAACACAATGGCTGCATTTATAAAATTCCCATTGTTTGTTTGTTTTTATTTTTCGGAGATAAGCGCAAACAAAAACTGATAAGGTTTCCGTTTTCAGGAAAATTTCTGTCAAATCTCGTCTCTCTCTAATTCAACACAAAAAAACTTTGCGGCAATAGATGTCAATTAAGGGACAGAAGTAGAACATCCGTAACAGTGTTAAAAAGTTCGTGGCGACAGCTACCACTGAAGATGTCTAGATAAGTTTAAAACAGCTTACGATGAACGCCGCTTTCCCTTCATTCCTCTCCATAAGAGCAAACTCGATCAAATTTCACACTTGGTTCAATTCAGTAAATGCCCAGAAAGTGTAAAACGATGTTTTTTTCGTCTCCCAACGAAATTCATTTACGATGGAATCACTAAACGCTCCTCGAACGCGCCAAATCCGCCGAGCACACGCACTCATTTTGCCGCTGTGTCTGCTGAACCTCTGATTTAGCTCCGAAGGCTAGTAGCAGGTCATATGTCGGGCTCTCTGCTTAGGAAAGGGAAGAGAGGCAGAATAATGATCTGTGAAATTATTTTCAGCAATACCAAAGGAAATACAAAGTCATGAATGCAATTTACGAAATATTTATTTCAGTACAGAGGCCTTGAAGTACATAATACTCAGTCAAGCAACGATTAATAAGTGACAGCAATGATTAATAACTGATGGAACATAGCACACATAGCGTCAGGACTGACATTGGCAAAATCAATAAGTTATCTAATCTTGCTTCTAGTTCATATCTTATAAAATGAGAATGTCCTTTTAGAGTACTTAGAAGAACTAAGGAATGAATATGAAAAATAGTAGTAGCTGGGAAAGCTGATGCGCCCTTCCTCACGAAACCAAGCAAAGGATGAGAAAGGGACGCACGACGATCGCGGCACTTTCCGAATATCATAACCCTTCATTGTACTAGGCTAAAGTCAGTTCATTCGATAAAGTGTCCTTTTGCAACAGATTATTCAACTCTACTGCGGTATTTTCCTTGTACTTTATAACCGCCTCCTCGATTTCTCTAATCATTCTCGCCCTTGTCTCACCCGTAAATCGCTTTCCGTGTGTCAATCCCTTGAAAAGTAAGCTAGGAATAGCTCCGCTTAAAAACACAGCAATCGTTGATGGCACTGCTGACATGCTGCTCGCATCAGTTACCAGAAATATAGAGCAGAAAACCAAAAATAGAAATATCAAAATGATAGCCATATTGCTAAGCATGCGGTTTACTTCACCCCTAACTGGTGGAACTGCCTTATTTGAATTTGACGCTTCACTGCAAATGCGCCAAAATAGATCTTCTGGAATTGCACCGTGCTCGCGTTTTCCATCAAGAGTCTGCCACTTCTCCGAAATCATTTCTTTCACATCTCGGTAGTACATTTGCAGATTATAGTAGCATAGATAAATGTTTGTTAAAGCAACGATAGAGAGCGCTAGGAATGGGCCTACGACTGACGCATTTAACACTAGACCTAAAGTAACTAAGCCAAACATGCGAGTGATACATCGACAAGAAAGGCCCCCTACCAAACAGCCGCCTGTTAATATTGCCGTTAGGAGTAGATGAAAACCAACTAGAAAAATTTGAACACCGATGAACATCGGTGTGAGACAATGACGGTATTGGTTGAATACTTCAAGGCACATTTGCCTAAGTTTCCTTACACAGACAAGCATGAGAATACCCCACGGTGAATAGCCAAAAATGAGCAAGACTAACCCTAGTAACAATATACAAAGGCATATTCCTCCTAAAATAACACCCACAACTATGACTAAAAACACATCCCAGAATAACACCCATAAAGCAATGAAAGGAGTTTTAGCTCGTTTCCATGGCGGAACCATTTTCTCAATAGCGTAATATGTAAAGAACTTTATAGATTTTGCTAGTGCTTTTTGGTGAAAGTTAATTAAACACGAAGCTAACTTGTAACTGTTTACTGATAACTTTCTTAAGTGTCGGAGCATTTCCTCTCCTACTGAAACCGTATTTTCTCTGCAAACAGGGCATATGAATTGTGTAATATCCTCTCTGACAGTAATTAGGAAATCCTTAGGATTTGAGAGTAAAATCAAAATCAAAGGAGCGAGAGCCTTTAGCCGCGCGAGAA